TAACCACATAAGTAATTACCAAACATTAAAAAAAATTGACATTTAATTACGAAATCCTTTAGTTTGCTGTCAGTAGTATAAGAGGACATAGTAGTATAACAGAGGGCTAAAAGTAAAGCAATCTTTTTTTAAGCGGACCGAACATTGAGCAATTTTGAGCGTCCTAAGCGCGCCTTTAAATCGTTGAAGAATAGTGTTATTCACTGATTGGTCAAAATAGGAAGGCCATCAAATAACACAACGGTCTGAGCCAGCAGTGCCTTTATAAAGCGACCCACTTATTGAAAATAAAACATTCACCAATCAATTTCATCTTGTTCGTCAACGAAAAAGTACTGTAAAAACTAAATATGTCTGGACGTGGCAAAGGAGGCAAAGCGAAGGGAAAGTCCAAGACCCGTTCAAGCCGTGCTGGACTTCAGTTTCCAGTCGGTCGTGTTCACAGATTTTTGCGAAAGGGTAACTATGCATCTCGTGTCGGTGCAGGAGCCCCAGTCTACATGGCTGCCGTGCTCGAGTACTTGACTGCTGAAATCTTGGAGTTGGCTGGCAACGCTGCTCGTGACAACAAGAAGAGCAGAATCATCCCCCGTCATCTTCAACTTGCCATCCGTAACGATGAAGAGTTAAACCGTCTCCTTGGCAGTGTAACGATTTCACAAGGAGGTGTATTACCAAATATCCAGGCTGTACTTCTGCCAAAAAAGCCTCAAACCAAGAACAAATAGGTCGATAATTTTCTCAAACAAAAAGGCTCTTTTCAGAGCCACCAAATTATGAAAGAGATTTGAATGCGTGTCCTAGTTGTCTATTCTTTTGTCTCGATATTCTTTGTTGTGTTGATATGAATAAATATTTAGATAACCTAATAGCAATCAATATGAGAATCATAGCGAAGCAACAATTTCCAAATTGATTTTCCCCAAAGTTCTTTTAAAGCATATTCACAATGCTAGATACTAGACCAGGAATTTGCTATTTATGAAAACAGATAAATCCTGGCCTGGACAATATATTTATTCAACATCAATTGTATTCCTTTCTTACAATTGGTAACAGATAGACAGCATAACTTTTATTACGAATCCCATGTGACTGACTGGTAAATCCCCTTGATTGATTGGAATATTCAAAATTTGCAATTTTTGGCATTCAATTCTACAAGTAAAACGATGTTTATTTGTTATGAATTGGTTGGTGTTATTACTAGCGAAATTATGAATATTGTCCTCATTAGATATCAGCCATGCAGATTTTGAGTAAACAGCTTCTAGAGAAAATCAGTAGCACTAAGATATAGTTTGTCTAAAAATAATTTAATCATGTAATCATCAGTTAAAATTAGTGATTCTACCTGGCAGAAATGTTCTTCAATATCTTTTTTTTAACTGTAAATACCTCAGATGGATGCAGATGCTCGAAGGTTTTGGGTGCTATCCAATGGCGTATCAACCAGTCATAGCCCGGCACCATGCATGTTAGTAGTCGATTACGGGGTGCCTCTTCACATTGGAATATCAAACCATACCTTAACCTGTTATATTAATATAATTTAATTCGAATTCTCTATTAGTTTTAGTACCCTTTTACATTTTTTAAAATTATATATTTGGATATAGCCTTGTATTCATAAGTATTCAAATTCATGGATTCGTCACTGTTTTGGTATATCAAAACCGTGCCATAACCTGTTATATTGATATAATTTAATTCGAATTTTCTGTGAATTCTAGTACTCTTCTACTTTTTCAAATTATATATTTGGGATGAAATAATCAATCTATAAACCAATGAAAACTAAGTTAAAGCTACAGAAGCCTTTTATATATCCTTTTATCACATAAATTCTAGTTTTACTCTATATACATAGGCCTACTGTATTTTACTATAACAATTTTCCTTTTTACTTGAAATGTTTAGAGGGTTGATAGGCCTAATAGAACACAGAGTATATATTTAGATAATTCCGAAGTAATAATATTATGCATGTTTTGTATTTTGTTTGAAAATGTATAATGGCTCGTGTGCACTTAAAAGAACCCAGTACATCTTTCGAGAAGAGTAGGGGTTACCCCGGTGTACTGGTCCATATAGCCCCAGTGTGGACAGATGAGAGTAGCTGGTACCGGTTTACCGGGTAACTCAAACAGGATGAGACCCTTAGGGGAGAAGAAAGTTATTAACGAGGTGGTCCACAGCGCTTTCAGATGGTATAAAGCGCTATATAAATCGAACTACATTACTACATGATAATTGTGCATACTTTGATTAATATCGAAGAATCAATATCTTTTAGTATTTTACTGACAATGGTAATTTTTTTTCAACCAAAATTTGTTGTGATTGTCTATGTTACAGGTGTTATTTAATTAGCTAACAGTAGTTGTCTCGTTAATGATATATATATATATATATATATATATATATA